GGAGTGGGAACATCAACCTGGAATATCACCTCATGAGATGGTGATATTGCTGTAAGTTTACCCAGCCCGTTAGAAACTAAATTTATTGTTCCACATTGGCTGCACGATATGTCCCATACATAATTCATACTGATATCAAACTCACCCACCAAAGATGCAGTATTTAGCCATTCTAACTTCTTCACACGACCAAAGAAGTCTACTGGAAGTTTTCCTTTACTGAAAGTGATCTCTGTTGTTTTTACCTGTACGGTGGGTCTAACATTGTTCAGTTCTTTCATCCTTGCTTGGATATTTTTAGCGTGTGTCATCACCTCCGTGTGGGACCCATGTTGAACAAGCTGTTTGGCAAACTCACATGTGCTGTGGATGGATACTTTCTGTAGTTGAACGCGATCTTTCTCAATCTCGAGTGACTTCATGTGCGTTGCGGCGTGGTCTTTTGCTTCTGCTATCAACTGAGCAGAAATAAGCTGAACCTCTTTTATAATATCTGTCTCCTGTTGATGTATGTCACAGACAGGCAGAAAGACAAACAGACAGATAGACAGACAGACAGATAAAAAAAGCTAACAGACAGACAGACAGACGAATAGACAGACAGACAAACAAACAAAGAGACAGCCAGACCGATAAAAAAGCTAACAGACAGACAGACAGACAAATAAACAAACAGATAGACAGACAAACAAACAAACAAACAAACAAACAAAAAGACAGACAGACAAACAAACAAACAATCCAACCACAATCCACCCACCGATGGTAACTGTCAGCCTGATTTCATACTACTATTCTCTGCCCAAATGCACCCCCCCCCCAAAAAAAAAAAAAAAAAAAAAAGAAAATGTTATCTCACCGTTTTGTTGAAAAAACCGCCTTTTTCTCTGAGCCCACATTTTCTCTCCCGCTAAAATGACCACTGAGTTTCACGTCTTACACCACTACACGTCACTTCCTGCACAATCCTGTCTCTTCCAATAATAATGTCAGCAATACTTGGAAGCGTGGCAACAACCTTTAACATGTTAATTATACAGGGTAGAAATCAAAAATTAAAAAGAAAAAATATATATGAACAGGTTACTTTTATCAAACCATGAGCATGTGTGTGTGTTTGAGTGTGTGCAATTTATTTGTTACACACGTATTAAGATTTAGAGTTGATACCGGAAATAACCGACACCATGCTGTCGATGAAGAAAAAAAAACGAAGAAAGAGGACACGGCCGTGTATGAAGCTTACAGAGAAGGCAACTTATGAAGAAGCATACGATCTCGCGGTCGTCATCGCATGCTCAAATTTTTACTTGAGAAATACAAAAATTAATAAACGAATAAAACATACCGGAACGCCAAGCCATCAATTTTATGGTCAGCGGCCTTGGGCTTGAAAATTACCGCAATAATGAAAGAAAAGCGGTACTTCCAAGGAAACGGCACTCTCAACTTCGTAAAGATCGTTAGTTAAAATTCTTTTGCGATTATTTGAGAGAGAGAGAGAGACAGAGTCAGCAATTAATTTTCTTTTTTTTTGTACAATAAGATACAACAAATGTCCAGACTCATTTTTGTACATGAAAAGAAGGATATCATAGAATTAATAAAATATTGCCCGTTTACTCTTGTATAAAATGTGACAAGGGTGCATTTCGAACTATACAAATGCATCGACAGAGCCTAAAACTCAAGGGATTCAAGTTGACTTTGTGACTTCAGATCCAAGTAGCTAATCCACGTGTATTGTGTGAGGAGAAGCGGTAACGGTGACTTGTATCCGCTTTCATGTGGATATCGCGGTGGTTGGAGATAAAACCATAATGTCCCAGTGCTTACGTTAGTGTTATAATATTCCTGCTGGTCTCACTGTAAATACTGGTATTACTGACGATATTTTTAAAAGCATTTATTTACAATAATACAAGAGATCGTGCAAGCTTGTTACACGTACATTTGATTCAATGAAGGTTAAATCACTTGTCGTATTGTCCTTTTCTGAGAAACATATCAAACTATACCATTGCTCAAATAAAAGATTGTACTTTTATAACACAGTAACTTGGCTGTAAAAGTGCGAAAAGAGTAAAAGATTAAAAAAAAAACAAATAAATTTCTTTTGTTTTCACTTTTTAACCCCGACATTAAATTAGCTACTGTGTGGAATTTAAACGTAAATAACGATTAATTTTACTTTCCTACTCCTACATGATCGTATAACTAATTGTTAAAGAAAAAAACAACATCATCACCTTCCAACATAAATGTTATAATTTCAGAAATATCCATAATTATGTGTTCAGCAAGCAATGTTCGCAAAGTTTCGCTTCAATTCTTCTTTCTTTTTGTGTTAAAAGTGATGTCGGCTAGTTAACATCTGATACTTAAATTGTAGTTAAGGAACATAGCGAAATGTTTTCACCTTGCCTCCATACTCCCCCACTACAAGCTGTCCTTTATTATCAATGGTCACACCTGCTGGTGCTGAAACCTGCTGTCGACCCACCACGTATCTCAACAGTTGACCATCTGAGGTCAGAACAACCACCCTGTTATTTCCCAGGTCAGCAATGAAGATGTGCCCCACACTGTCTGTACACACTCCAGTGGGGAAACGCAGGTATCCATCACCTGAGCCTTCCTCACCTGGTGTACCATAGTGGAACACTACATCACCCTGGGGGGTCACTCCATATACACTCTGTCCCCTCCAGTCACTCACCACAATGGTGTCACGACATGGGAGCACTGCAATGTATTCTGGCCACGCACACATAGGAACACTGATCTTATTGATAAGATTGTACTCCACAGCGTCATACATANTCGTGTGTGCACGCCCACTTCCGGTGATCTGTACAAAACCACACGCGACCAGTAGAAGCAGGTTAACTGCGCACGCGCGTCATTATTTGTAGAAATGTGTATTCAAATGCCAGGTGCATAAAGAATTTAAGCCTAGATTGCAAAATAATACTTCTCTTGAAAGAGTGAAAAATACTGAGTAGTTTTCGTTTTAAAAATCCGCAATACAGTGAATATGTATCATGCTTTGAAAGGCGAGTTATAGTTTGTACAGTTTAGTAACGCCGCATTTATATTATTATTCATTTTATTGTGCATTATGTACCGGTTTATAGCCCTTTAGTACAATCATATCAGCTCCACCAGCCTCGGACATTTCTTCTTTTCAAACATGTTTTGGGTTTTCGTCAAAATGGCTATTGAAGTACATTATACACACATGTACATTCGCGTGTCTTGTCGTCTTCACAGTGTCTTAAAACTTCATTTTTAACCACGAGATAAATCAGTTCAGCTTTAAGAACACCATGAGACGTTCGTCTTCAACTGCTTCGTCAAAAGCACGGTAATCACCTAGGTAATCCTCGCCGTTAAAAAGCTGTGGGGGAATACTCAACGCGCCGAAACAGACCTGTAATGGCTAAGAACGTACCAATACACTCCAAACAGGCAGCCATAATGGCAGTAGTTAAAACGTAGCTAACGTAGGCAGTCTTCATGGCGTACTACAGCAAATTGAATTTAATAGAGAGAGAGAGAGAGAGAGAGAGAGAGAGAGGAAAAGAAGCGGAGTAAGAAGGAATGAGGGGGGGGGGTGGAGAGAGATTATTTTCATGATTTCATCGACGCTCCACATCACAATTTCAATACAATATGAAAGAACTGGTAGTAGTAGTAATTCGACTCCGATCATACATGTATATGTTACTCACGACAGTCGGTCTTTTCCATTATTGCGTTATTTATAACATAAAATCGTAGTTAACCAAACACAGTACTGTATCACCTGTAATGTTCTTTATGATTAATAAACTATATACTATTTTAATATTATGTCACGTACCTCACTGACAAAGAGAGAGCAAGAGGGTGTGGTCCAGTAGCGTTCTCAGTGCGCTGATGGGTGTGACGGCCACGGGTGCCACGGTCTGTGTGTGGGATAGATATAAGACAGTACCCTTTCACTCGAGTGATGTATCCCAGAACATCTTGGGCCTCAGTGAATAGGTATTCATGGCATATGTCTTGAGAGGGCGGCAGTGTAGTGTTTGACATGCATATACCGAGAGAAAAAAATCATTTCACCGTAAAACACCCCTTCAACCGAATAAATCGTTCCAATATCACTCTCTAAATGTATTGAGGATTAGACCACGGTGTAAATGAAGAACAAAAGACTCGGACGTGGTGTAACTCGCATAACCGCACGTCTTGCATGAATGCGTTATAACCCGTTCATGGACCGTGGTCTAAATAAGATAGACCCCTCGTCAGCGGGGGTTATGTGACATCCACTCGTGCTACGCACTCGTGTATGCCACATAACCCTCGCTGACTCGGGGTCTATCTATTACATAAACTCGGCGGCCAACTCCCGTCAATTGCTTACGAAAGGAAACTTGTTAAAATGTTGTTATAATTTATCTTAGCACTTGTTGTTGAAAGTCCAATTGCTTGAACAGTTTTCAATCAAACGTTACCGCAGACCATTCTGCCAGTCCGACCGGGCCACTCCCACAAGTTGGGATATCTGTTGAACAAATGCGCAATGGCGTAGCTGTCGTCTTTCAGTGACAGTACAACATGGAATAAATCTATACCGGTAACTCTGACGACGAGGCGGTTTCAGAGTGTACTAATATTCAAAATCATTTTAGAGCTTATTGCAGATTCAAAGATGAAATACATTTGATTTTTAGTGATGTTTTTGATGAAAAGCTGGTGATGGAGAAGAAGAATTAAAAATGAAAAAGAAAAAAAGATAAATAACACAAACTGTGCAATCAAATTAATCAAGTCACACGCCCGCTACATTCTTTATAGTATTATGTAATGGCAGTCAGCAATTCATTTTTCTTTTTCTGATAACAAATTACAACTTATATCCAAACTCACATATTTGTACATGAAAAGAAGTATATCATAAAAATATTAAAATATATTGCTCATTTACTTTTGAGTTGAGTTTGTGACCTCAGGTCCAAGTAGCTGATCTACGCGTAGTGTATGAGACGTACGTGGTACGTGGTACGTGGGACGTACGTGATAACGGTGACTTGTATCCGCCTTCATGCTGATATTGCGGCGAGATGGAGGTAAAAGCATAATGTTACTCTCACAATATTCCTGCTGGTCTCACGGTAAATACTGGTATTACTGACGATATTTTTAAAAGCATTTATTTACAAGAATACAAGAGATCGTGGAAGCTTGTTACATGAACCTTTGATTCAATGAAGGTAAAATCACTTGCAATTGTCGTACTGTGTCCTTTTTTTAGAAACATATAAAACTATGTCATTGCTCAAATAAAAGATTTTAACTTCATTATACAGTAGTATTTCTTGACTGTAAAAGTGCAAAAAAAAAAAAGAGTGAAAAAATAATAGTTAAATTTGTTTTGTTGTCACTTTAGAACCTCGACATGAAATTGGTTAGCTTACAGAATTAAGGTACACAATGAATAATTTTACTTTCCCGCTTCTACATTATCGTATAACTAATAGTTTTTAAACCATCACCTTCCAATATAACAGTTAAAATTTCAAAAATGTCCATAATTATGTGTTCTACAAGTATGTTCACAAAGTTTCGCTGTAATTTTTCTCTCTTTTTGTTGTAAAAATGCTGTTGCCTGATAACGTCTGATATACTACTTAACTTGTAGTTAATAAACATAGCGAAATGTTTTCACCTTGCCTCCATACATTCCCACTACAAGCTGTCCTTTAATATCAATGGCCACACCTGCTGGTGCTGAAACCTGTTCTGGACCCACCACGTATCTCAACAGTTGACCATCTGAGGTCAGAACAACCACCCTGTGATTCCACTGGTCAGCAATGAAGATGTGCCCCACGCTGTCTGTACACACTCCCCAGGGGTAGTTCAGGTATCCATCACCTGAGCCTTCCTCACCTGGTGTACCATACTGGAAAACTACATCACCCTGGGGGGTCACTCCATATACACAGTGTCCATCACTGTCACTCACCACAATGGTGTCACGACATGGGAGCACTGCAATGTATCGTGGATTATTACACATAGGAATACCAATCTTATTGATAAGATTGTACTGCACAGCGTCATACCCACAGATACATTTATTGTTCATGTCACAGACAAGTATGTGTCCATTGTTGTCCAGTGTAACACCCTGGGGGTAGGACATGTCACCCTGACCAAATGTTTTGACATGTTTCCCGGAGGAAGAATACACTCGGCATCCATCCCGGCATGTAACCACCAGTCTGTCATCACTGAGCACGGTGACACCCCTGGGACTTGGTACATCAACCTGAAATATCACCTCATGAGATGGTGATATTGCTGTAAGTTTACACGATATAACAGAAACTAAATATATTGTTCCACTTTGACTGCACGATATGTCCCATACATTCTTCATACTGCTTTCAAACTCATCTATCCATTCTAACATGGTCACACGACCAAAGAAGTCCGCTGGAAGTTTTCCTTTACTGAAAGTGATCTCTATTGTTTTTACCTGTACGGTGGGTCTGACATTGTTTAGTTCTTTCATCCTTGCTTGGATATTTTTAGCGTGTGTCATCACCTCCGTGTGGGAGCCATGTTGAACAAGCTGTTTGGCAAACTCACATGTGCTGTGGATGGATACTTTCTGTAGTTGAACGCGATCTTTCTCAGCCTCGAGTGACTTCATGTGCGTTGCGGCGTGGTCTTTTGCTTCTGCTATCAACTGAGCAGAAATACGCTGAACCTCTTTTATAATATCCGCCTCCTGTTGTTGTATGTCGGTCACCGTTTTGTTTACGACGTCAGTTGTATATTTCTGTTGCTTAGATATTTCTGACTCTGCTTTTTCAAACAGTGCAATGTTCTTAGATAAATGATTAAAGGCACTATTTATTTTTTCTTTATGGATTTTTGCTACATCTGCAATGTCTACACAGTTGTGTTTGTTGTGTTTGGTGAGAATACAGTCACGACACACAACAACATCGTCATCAGTGCAATAAAAGATTAACTGTTGTCCTTTGTGTTTATCACAAAATAGTCTAGCGTCCATTTCTTCCTGGACTTGCTTATCGTGATCAGACGCTGATATAATTTTGTGTCCCCGCAGAATTTTTATTGCGTCATGCTGTTTTTGTCGACAGTTCTCACATAAAAAATGTCTGCAATCTTGACAGTAAAATTGAGCAACCTGTGAGTCACAGTTACCGCACATTTTGTCTTTATTCTCTGTTGTCAACATGAAGTCCTTCACCTTGGACAAAAAGAAGTTACGGACAAGTTTCTCTATCCCACCTGGTGGAACAGGCGCCTCCTGAAGGCACACTGGACATTTGATGTTGCCTCCCGACCCACTTGCTGCCACGTGCTGGGCAAGACAAGCTAGGCAGAAAGTGTGATAGCATGGGAGGACACGCGGGTCCTCATACTCATGAAGACAGATGTGACACGTGAGAAAATTGTCACTGAAGACGTCGTACAACTTCTTAGATGCCATGACTTTAAACTGAGTTAGGTTCGAACACAGCCAAAAGTCTGTATAATTAGTCTCGTCACTTAAAAACGGCGCATTCTCTGTCATTGACTGGATTGTTTAACACTGCAGCGCCTGTGTTATATACAAGAACACCAGGCCGTGTCACATGACTGTGTGATGAAATCTGTGCAAAGGACGGTGAGGGTTGCAAGGGTCGCCTACACTTTGATGACTGACGCACCGAAGAGTCTTAAATCACCTTCCAAAGGCAATGTGTTAAGGTTGGCCTGCATTTACAACTCTTTCGGTTATAGACAGCAAATGACCATTTTTACCAAATGTTCCTGTATGTCATGGAGCATCTCGTGCATGGTTTATTCCTTTATGAATATAATGTACCATGATTGTATAAACAACAAACTGCAGAATAGTATAATTTCCAAGTCTTGTTTAAAAAGGTTCTTATTTCTGTATTATCCTCTCGCCACCCTCCTTGGACCCATGGACTGTTACAGAATCACCTGATTTTATTAAATATTAACGTGTCTGTAAATTATATCTGGTAAACATGATAAGAGACAATGTTTGATATACGTACATGTAGTCAAGTGTAGCACAGTATAATCAGTTTGAGTTCTTTGTTTTAGCGTTCAGCCTGCTGTTCAGACACCACTTCCCCCGACAGTGTACTCCGTTACGTTTCGGTATGGTGTCGGTAGTTTTCAGTATCTCATGTAGATCTCCAACGTGTGTAACAATCGCACACACACACACACACACACACACACACCGTCCTAGTTTGATAAAGGTAACGTGTTCAAGTATCCTTATCTGTTTAACTATCGATTGCTTCCCTGTATAATTAAAACGTTAGTGATTGTTTCCACGTCTACAAATATTGCAGACATTATTTTAATAATTAAAATGAATATTACGTCAAAGTAATATGGATTTTTATCTGCCAAGTAACTTTGTAAAAATTAATTAACTAAAATACCACTGATTTCCCTTTTGATTGCATCCCCTAACGCAGTTTCATGGGTTTGCGCTTTAAACGGTATTTTGATTAAAAAAAGAAAAAAAACCTGTAGTTTAATGAGGGAAAGATATGTTTCAAGTGATTTTCCACTATCATTTCCTTCTCGGCAAAAAGAAAAAGAATATTTGCATTAAAATGTAATAGCCGATTAGGCCTATCAAGTTGAATTTAAAGCACGGGTAGATGGCTCATTCAATCCTGCACTAACTGTAGACTTGGGTGTACGTGAGAACACACCTCACTAGTCCTGATAGCTGGAGTCACCTGAGCTGTACGCCCCACCACGAGGCACATGATACAAGAGATAGCAGAACTGGGCTTGTTTATTAACCCAGACGCTGAAGTTATTCTACGTAGGCACTCTAGTAACATTTTGTACAGGAACATATTGTTTACTGTTGAATATTAAGGCGGGAAATGTCAATGATATAGCATTTATTACCTTTTCAGCCTGTCAGTAGCAATTCACCTGGACTTTCATACTTTCAAATACAAATACAAATATTTAACAAATATTTTCAAACGATTTTATGTAAATAATAATGATAATACTCAACATGCGTCTCAGTGTTGCTTACACTAACATATAAAAACTAAAACCAGAAAGATAAATTAAAAACTAACATAAAGTTATTTAAAACTAAAATATTTTTGTAAATCGAAATATCCTTTAAATAATCTTTTCAAAACAGTGATAAGAGTTAATACACATTTGATATGTTAATAAAATTGGACCACAAAATAAGTGCAGCAATCTCAAAACTCCTGTGACAATATTAGGCCATTCACATTAGGCAGTTAACCGCGGTCGAGTTTACTCCGATTGAATCGCGGTTAACGGTCAGTAGCGATATAATTCCAGAAATCGTACTTCCTGTTCAGCATGCACTCTATTGTTCGGATAATTAAAAATCCGACCCTTTATATTTAAATTATTTTATTTTAGATATATGAGTTTACCGCAAAACGGGGGCAAAAGATAAGATACTATGTAGGCATGGTGATACAGATACCCTAAAGCCTATTTTGCGACAGACCGTTTTATTCTTGGCGCTTCCTGCTAATTTACGTTGTACCTCACTCTCCGACCATTTGGCGAGGAGGCCCTTGACGGTATCCTCAGACAATGATAGGTCTACTATTTTGCCGCTACTCATACTCATAGGACTCAAATAGCTGCGAGGATTTCTTGCAAACGAGATCAGTTGATTAATTGCCCAACTGTGTGCATGCGTTCCATATGTAAACATCCGGAGTTAACTCCGATTTAACCCAGCTCCCGATCTGGGTTTATTTCGACTGCGGTCAGGGGTACGTCGTCCGTTCACATTAGAAAAGTTCACCGCGACAGAACCGAGGTCATGCAGGCCTTGACCGCGGTCGAAAATGCTAGTGTGAATAGCCTATATGTTTTAAGCCTTTTTTGTATCGTTTCGCTTGAGATGAAATTGACCACAGGAAAGAAGAGTTTTAAAAGTTCTATTATTAATTTATTATTAAATGAAATATATAAGTATATTATATACTTCATGTAAAGTCAAGAATAATATCTTATAGACTATTCTTTAAGGCTGCATGTGGGTAACTAATGAAGATCGTGGAGAACTGGTGTACATGTGAGAATCACGTGATATGGTGGAACTTCTGAGTTTTCGAAGGAAACGAACTGTTGAATTCTAAATAGACAGATTTTTCCCATTTGATAGTTAGGCATTCCGAACAACAGGATCAGTTTTATCATCATTGAGGTTTTTTTCTGGGTTCCCATACCAAGATCGATCTAATAGGTCCGATCCATCTCCGGAGGTTTCTTGCTAAATTGCTTTCAGCTTAAGCGGCTTAGATGTCTGGCACGCCAACTGAAGCTGCCAAACGATGGTTAATTACCCCATGGCAGTATCAGTAGGCGTTTCGGATATCTAAGTCGCCTAAGCTGATTACAATTTAGCACGAGAGGAGAAAGATGGAGCCATAGTAAATACGATAATCTATGGTAATGGTGTCTAAGTAGTTTGTCGTGAGCCAAAATCTGAATTCATACACGCAAGTCTCAATAGTTGCTTTTTCATCATGAGGATTTTTACATATAACATTTATCTAGTAATCATCCACATACCACATCAAATTGAAATCAAACAAAATATATCCTCAGTGGGTAAAGTGTGTAGTGTAAAGAGAATAGGACCGAGCTCAAACCACATAATGTGCTTAAAACTTTTATGTTACCAAGTACAAAAATAAAGTTAATATTAAATAAATCAAATAAAAAGCTCAAGGTACAAAATAATAATAAATATTGGTAATTACCGACCTTGAAAATTGGGTAACTTTTCTTTTATCGCCAAGGTTTCTACCCTCCGCCAGGTCCACAGATATTTGAACAGAACACTAGATTGTTTTGTCTGGCTTTTCACTAGCTGTGAACTAAAATTTTCCTGAGCAAAGATGTTCATCAGCTTGGTAGTTGGATCATACATGAAAATTATCAAACACAAGCTGAAGTATTTCTGCATGTGTTTGATAATTTTCATGTATAAAAAAATTCCTGTTCCGAAAAGATTTGTCCTTAGCATTATGGAGAATGGACTACGGTTCCTAGCAGACTACCATTCTTGTTATATCGGTCCAAACGCGACCTGAGATGTTACCGCCATATAGTGACTGCATCTTGTATTGGGCCTAATCATAAGACAAGGCGTCGCCTTATGTCTATGCTAAAAATGGGGCTCCTAGACAACAGAATGCGTTAGGTGAACCAGGGCAGCGAGTACAGCACAATCTGCGCCCTTCACACAATACACAGGCCGACGACCATGCTCGAATAGGGGCCCCGCATTTTACCCTCTGTCAGGGCCGTAGATGAATTATGTTCATTTGTAAAAATGTGATATTAATGACCCAGAGACAAATATGTGAATATCTAATGAAAAATCAATCTGTGGCCCTGGTAGAGGGTACCCGCTTTACACTATCAGTTCTTACGAGACTGTAAAACACGGGCGATGAACGATAGTTTATTGTATTCTGTACATGAAAGGATGTGCTGAATCTATTAAATGATGGCCCATTCCAAACGAAACTACCGCTCTGTTTAGCTTAATCCACAGGGACTCTCGCTGAATGGCAGTCGGGTATGCATGTCATTTCTGGTGACACGGGTGACATCACACACGAGCAGCGGAAATACACCTGTAGGTTAACAGCTCACGCACGACACTATATGAGGAAATGTGTATTCAAATGTCAGTTGCATAAAAAATTTAAGCCTTGTTTGCAAAACAATTTTTCTCTTGTAAGGGTGCAAAATATTGAATAATTTTCTTAATTTTTTCAGTCCGCAGCACAGTGAATATGTACCCCGGTATAATGCTCTTAGGCTAAGTTATATCTTGTGGTAACGCCCCGTGTATTTTTTTATTTTTTATTATTTATTATGTACTGGTATATACCCCTATAATACAATCATGTTAGCTCGTCCAACTTCAGACATTTCTCTTTTCGTCAAAATGGCGGTTGAAGTACATTATACATGTACATTTGCGAGTCTTGTCGTCTTTACAGTGTCAGAAAGTATTCCTCGCCGTTAAAAAGCTGTGGACCGATAGAAGTCCCTTCTTGTCTCCTTAGAAATTCCTTAACTTCATTACTTTCAGAGATATCGATGTACTGGGCATAGAACTTCNTAGATGGCTCATTTAAACCTGCACTAACTGTAGACTTGGGTGTACGTGAAAACACACCTCACTCGTCCTGATAGCCGTAGTCACCTGAGCTGTACACCGCACCACGAGGCACTTGATACAGGAGATAGCAGAACTGGGCTAGTTTATTAACCCAGACGTTGATTGTCTGCGAAGTTATTCTATGAAGGCTATCTGATAACATTTTGGTCAAGGACATGTTGTTTACCGCTCAATACAAAGACAGGAGAATGTCAATGATTAAGCAGTTATTACCTTACCCGCCCGCCACTACTAATGTCTAACATGTTATTTTATGGGGTTTTGGAACTTCCCAAATACTTTCAAACTCTAGTTTTTTAAGTCTGCACAAACTGTAGACTTGGGTGTACGTGAGAACCGACCTTACTCGTCCCACCAAGAGGCACTTGTTACAAGAGATAGCAGAACTGGGTCCCGTAACTCGAAAGTATCGCTTTGTACCGTTCACCAATATAATCTCCACACTTGTTAATTAATTTGATTGGAGTCGCTTGCTTGTGCACTCGACTCGTTTTATGAGCTTACCTGTAATTATATAACGTAAGTGGACGTGTGCAATTTGAATAATGAAAATTAGTATGTACCGCCAAATATTGCGACACTGATAAGAAATATGTAATGAAACCCTTTTGTATACTTTAGGTATTTTAACTTTTATATAGGCTCAGAACGCAATCTGCGATTCTATGGTTCGTGCCAGCTTTACGTTAAGTCGCTCAAAGAAAACCCAAGGACACATAATGACCAGTTAAATGGTTTATTTGTTGACACTCTTTAACTACATCATTTCCGTGAAGGCTCTAACTTCTCAACCATCACCCATGACTCGCTCCCGTCTCCTAGCTCCCCAGAGCGGGCTCCCTCAGTCTCTCAATCTGAACTCCCAAGTTTTAAATCTGAACGTCTTATATACATATTTCTTATCAGTAGAAACGAGCTGCAGAATTCTGAATAGACTGATTTTTCCCCATTTGATAGTCAGGCATTCCGAACAACAACAGGATGATGCAGTAATCATGTCTAGAAGCCACAAATGCATGGATGAATAGCTCTGTTTACTTGCTGTTTATAAGGTGAAGAATCTTAGACATTAGTTGCCAACTGAAATATGGTGATTTACATACTTTGTTAATGTGTGATGTCATATGTCACATTTATTGTTGAGAATTACACCCTGGTTCTAACGCTAGTTGTGATAACATATCTTCAACTCTGATACTGTGTAGTGCTGTCTCTGGAATACTTGGTGTTTGACTGGGTTCCCATACCAAGATCGATCAAATAGGTCCGATCCATGTCCGGAGGTTTCTGGCTAATTTTCTTTCAGCTTAAGCGGCTTAGATGTCTGGCACGCATACTGAAGCTGCCAAATGATAGTTAATTACTCCATGACAGTTTCAGTAGGCGTTACGGACATCTAACACCCCATTCTCATAGATTAGATCGACCTACATTGGATCGACCTAACTCCCTGGGGGTTCACGCTAAATAGCTGTCAGCCGGGCGGACACGAAAGTTAATTACCCCTTAAAGCTTGTAGTAGGCGGGGACGGACACTTAAGGGGGATTATCTGACAGTAATCTAGTGAGACTCCCCGCGGTGATAGATCGATCTAAAAGTTGTGAGAACAGAGCCTAAGCCGCCTTAGCTGATTACAATTAAGTGATAACCCCCTTGCAGAAAGATCGAGCCATAGTAAATACGATAATCTCTGGTAATGATCCGTCGTGAGCCTAAATCTGAATTCATACACACAAGCCTCAATAGTTGCTTTCTCATCATGAGGATTTTTACATATATAACATTTATCTAGTAATCGTCCACATACCACATCAAATTGAAACCAAACAAAACACATCCTCAGAGGGTAAAGTTTATAGTGTAAAGAAAATAGGACCGAGCTCAGACCACATAATGTGCTAAAAACGTTTATATTACCAAATACGAAAATAAAGTAAATATTTAATAAATCAAATAAAAAGCTCAAGGTACAAAATAATAAGTATTGGTAATTACCGACCTTGAAAATTGGGTAACTTTTACTTTATCGCCAAGGTTTTTACCCTCCGCCAGGTCCACAGATATTTGGACGGAACACTAGATTGTTTGGTCTGGCTATTAACTAGCTGTGAACTAAAATTCTCCTGAGCAAAAATGTTTATTAACTCGGTAGTTGGATCATACATGAAAATTATCAAACTCAAGTTGAAATATTTCTGCATATGTTTGATTATTTTTATGTATAAAATTTTCCTGTTCCGAAAGATTTGTCCTAAGCATTATGGGGAATGAACTACGGTTCCTAGCAGACTACCATTCTTGCCACATAAGTCCAAACACGACCAGAGATGTTACCGCCATCTAGTGACTACATCTTATATTAATCATAAGCCAAGGTGTCACATTATTTTTATGCTCAAAATGGGGCTCCTAGACAACAGAATGCGTTAGGTGAGCGTGGACAGCACAATCTGCGCCCTTCACACAATACCTGTAGAGAAACAGAACAGATCGACGACGCTACATGAATAGTGGGCCCGCACTTTACCCTCTGCCAGGGCCGTAAATGAATTATGTGCACTTGTAAAAATGTGACATGAATAAGCCAGAGACATATCTGTGAATATCTAATAAAAATCAATCTGGTAGAGGGTACACGATTTACACTATCAGCGCTTTAAAGACTGTAAAACACGGGGGATGAACGATAGTTATACGTATTGTGTACATAAAAGGATTTGTTGAGTCTATCATTCCAAATAAAACTGTCGATCTATCGATCCAAATCCGAGGGGGCTCTCACTGAATGGTAGACGTGACACGTGCGACACCACACGCGACCAGTAAAAACAGGTTATCTGCGCACGCGCGACATGTAATAATGTGTGTTTAAAAAGAGTGAAAAATACTGAGTAGTTTTCGTTTTAAAAATCCAAAATACAGTGAATTTATATCATGCCTTGAAAGGCGAGTTATAGTTTGTAAGTTTAGTAACGCTTCATTTATATTATTATTTATTTTTTTTGTGCATTATGTACTGGTTTATAGCCCTATAGTACAATCATACCAGCTCCACCAGTCTCGGACATTTCTGATTTTCAAACATGTTTTAGGTTTTCGTCAAAATAGCGATTGAAGTTTATTATAGGCACATATATATTCGTGTGTCTTGTCGTCTTTAGAGTGTCTTAAAACTTCATTTTAACCACGATATAAATCAGTTCAACTTTAGGAACTCCATAAGACGTTCGTCTTCAACTGCTTTCTCAAAAGCTGCGTAATCACCAAGGTATTCCTCGCCGTTAAAAAGCTGTGGGGGAATACTCTTCTCTCCTGCACTTTCCCTCATGAATTTCTTGGCGGCGTCGTTTGATGAGACATCGATGTACTGTGCGTCGATCTTCTTTCCGCTGAGAACCATCTGTATCTTCTGTTGTTGTTTCTTTATCTCCAGGTTGCCTGACACGCTGCTGATGTACACACGGATCCCCTGTGTGGCCAGATGATCACATTCTGTAGAGAAAATAAAGAAGAAAAGGAATCTGGAACCCGAGCACATGGCTTACGACATGTCAACATTTATTTGATATATGAATGAAGGACATTTAATATAAGAAAAATATTATCAAAGTAAATACGTGCTCAATGCCATTTGTTTTGTTTCCATATATAGTCAATCTCCTCCCTGTCTCGGTTTGTGTCACTGTTTTACGATTTCTATCAACCAGCAAACAACGTCAATTTTTCATATGGTCAAACATTTAACATTTACTTTGTTCCTTTCACTTATCCTGCTATTTTGAGAGTGAACGACGACAGACCTGTACTGGCTAAAAACGTACCAATAAACTCCACACAGGCAGCCATAATGGCTATGACCAAAATGTAGCTAACGGAGGCAGTCTTCATGGCGTACTACAGCAACCTGGAAAGACACGGGTGCATAGCTTTTATCTGTATCTCGCATACATTTGTCGGGTATTGAGCCTCGCCGGAGCCCTTTTGATTATATTTTTATTACATTTAATTGATGGGTTTATCCGTTGTAGTTATAGGCCTCTGATCTAAAATGAATAGCAATTTGTACAATTACAGAAGACATATACAATCAAGGTCATATGTGTACATACAGAAAAAAATATGAATATATGTTATGTCTGGGGACAAATGTAGTTGGGGGAATGTTAGATTAACTCCCCAGTTTTGTAACTTTGTATCTTATTTCAAACAATCTCTCCGAGGTTTATATTGAGTCTCCGTTTTTGAAAGCAAGCCTGCAATATATATTTAGGCTAGAATGTAGACTTTTAGCAGATTTGTAGACGATAACTACTATAGGCTACTGTATATGAATAAAGAAACCTAAATCTGTATAACAGCAAATTCTTCAAATTCTTCTAAATCGACGTCAAAAAATTGTTCTTTTTAAGTTTTAGAGAGAAAAGATGAGATTTAGATGAGAAAATTCTGATTGGTCAGTTTCTAGTGACGTAACCTGGGTAGTAGCTTCCCACAGCTGTACTAGTAATAGTATATACTATGCAGTAGGTGACTAAACATCCAGGTGTCAGAAAAACAAAATGCAGCAAAGTTGTGTTGCTCCCGGGTGCCGTAATGTAGGTTACGATAAGAAAGACATCTGCTATTATATCCTGCCTGCGGATGCCGCAAAACGTAAAATTTGGCTCAATTCTCTGAAGTTAAAAAATCCCAGCACAGTGTCAAAACACGCGAGGATCTGTAGCGACCACTTCGAGCCGGAATGCTTCGTACGTGACCTGCGAGCTGAATTGTGCGGTGGAAAAGCACGGAGAAAACTAAAAGATGATGCTGTACCCAGTATATTCGATTTTTCGGAGTACCAAAATGCGACAGTAAATGCCAGAGCGCTGCCGACGAGAGTCTTACCTGTAGGATGTGTGCATGATGCGGCCGTCGAAAGGAAGAAGAGAGCAGCTTCTAGAGCCCAAAAAAAGTTCGTAGCAGAATTACGTTGTCGAATTTTTTGGTTATGTTAGTGAAAACTTTAATATTAACATGATAGTGGACTCAAATTTTTACTCGACATACTGCTGCACTGATCACGTGTAAGGCGGAAGTAGCGAGGTAAGTTGCAGAGGTGTGAAATGTAGTGTCCGATGCTATCAGTCCGATATCTTTGGTCTTTTGTCCACTGACCTGGCTCTCCCGGAATGACACTGGTAAACTGCACGGGTGTGAAAAATAATGTTAGCTGTCACACCTGCATGTATTAGGTAACTTTCTCTTATCAGTCGGGATAAGAACGTTCAGCCGACGCGACAGATGGGCATGTGTGAAAAACTATGTTCGCTGCCCTGCTTCCAAACCTTTACTGTTAACATAGTTTTGGTGTATTTTGTTGGTTAATAAATGATAACCACGTAGGGAATTCATCTTCTTTTGAGTATCTGTCCTTCAATTCGTTCTCTGTTCATTTTTACAAAATAGTTCAGACAAAGCGATCGAGTAAATGTAAGTAAGCGGATAGCTGAATCGAATATGGCTTTCTGAGCCTCGACGCAAGTGACGTCACTCGCCTCAAAGCGCCACCACGCGGGAGTATCGTAAACTACATTCACACCTGCATAAAATCGGCTTTAAAAACTAAATAAACGTAAGAACTTTTTTTCATTACTCAAAAATGACTTTTGGGCACCTAATGGATAGTTTTAACCCTTTTTTCATCGCAGTATACCTTTCAGCTGTGATAACTGACCTCTGCCAAGATGACCTCAGGCAAAGCCATTATTTGTATAATATTGACCCATTTTGATATAAACTAAACCAGCTTTCTTGTCTCAGTTCTACTTGCTGATGGAGTACATAAGAGCGCATCCAGAATAGCGGACTTACAAATCCGCCGATCAAATATGGCCGCCCCACTTGAATGAATGTTGCATTATCCCCGCGGGGAATCTATTCAGTGTCTAAATGGGAATTAAGCGGCAAGCTTTTGAGTGGGTGGCCATATTTGAACCGCGGATCTGTTAGTCCGCTTTTCTGAATGCCCCCTGCTGTTCTCAAACTAACCGTAGCCTTGGTACCGTGAGACCGCTACTACTGCTAGTATACTGTACTGTATAAAACATATTATAAACACAATGATATGAAACAAACAGACTGCAGGTACAGCCTCAATTGGCTTTCATGATGTCATCAGTGCTCCACGACACACATTCAATGCAGATGCAATGTACCAGTATGAAATGATTATTGGATCTAATGTACCAGCATGTACATGTACGGGTTCTGGTGGAAATGTACATATGGACGAACATGTAACTACATAATTCGGAATGATCTCTTAATATTATCCATTGTACAACAACACGATAAATATGTAATTAGGAAAGATCTCACGATATTAACTACTGAAATACAACACGATAAATATGAAATTAGGAAAGATCTCACAATATTAACTACTGAACTACAACACGATAAATATGTAATTAGGATATATTTCACGATATTAAGCACTAAAGGACAGTACGATAGCTACATAATTTGGAGTGACCTCAAAATATGAAACCCTAACCGACATCATGATAACTACATAATCGTAGCAGTACACAATTTTCCTCCATGAACAATATGTAAATAAAATAATAATAGTAACGGTGGTTTCTTGTTCAAGTTCGGATGAGAGAAACTATTCTCTTACCGCTTGGTCAGTAGTACAACAGTGGCAGTTGGTTGAATCGATCATACATGTATTTGTTCTTCACGACAGTCGGTCTTCTTCATTAATATTGCGTTATTATTTACAATATGCCAAATTTTACTTATCAAAACACTATGGTGTAGCACTTGCGAATATGAATTTGTTATTAATGATAAATAAAAGATATGTGTTGTGTATATTGTGCCACTTACCTGAACTAGGAAAAGAGAGGAAGATTCTGTAGATCGGTGTCGTTCTTAGTGTAGCAGAGGGTGCAACTGCCTCAAATGGTCGTTATCTGCCACGGGAGATATGTTATAGTCCGTAAGGTGTCCCTCGGTATCGTTTCAAACCATTTCCAAAATTGGGATGGTAATTTGTGTTTATAAATCTTGGGAAAAAGACTTAAATAATAAATATTGAAGACCGTTTACCACGCTAAAATTACTAATTATTCGTAAGCCGTCATTTAAAGCATAACTAATTGTTGTTGTAGCCGCGGAAGAATGCGTACAATTTATACCTTCTGGACCAATAGGAAGACTTTAATTGGCGGTAATAAGGCTAATTCGACCTTGAGTGGATTTTGTCGTCTGCTGAGCTGTACTCACCAACACTCTCCTGACACTTCGCATTGTCTGCTGGTTGGTGCTGACATACAGTAAAGTGTGTGTGTAAATGTGCGTGTGCTTGTGTGTGTGAGTGTGTGAGTGTGTGTGTGTACTGGGGGAGTTTTCTTGATCGATTTTGGCCTTATATTGACAATAACATCAAGTTGTATGCCTCTGTTTGGCTTTTAATAAATCAGATCATGATGGATTTCATTATTTTAATAAAGAATTATCTTCAACCAAGTGTGCAGAAACAGCTCTCTCACTATTTTCTCTCGACCGTTGCGTCCACGCCAAACAGGCCCTGCGACGTTTACTTATTCAGATACAGATAAAAGCACTAAAAAACCGAAATATGCAGAGAATTGTAATCTTCACAGAAAACCATCTGACAAAGAACTGTATAGAACGCTGTGGTAGCGTTATAATAACGACCTGCGTTTGCTGTAGTATCTCCCAGGTCTAATAAAACGTGAAAGTATTCTCCAAACTCAACGCATGGGCTGTCTTCTCTAAAGCATTTACCTCTTGTATGATTCTGTAAGAATCGCTGCATCCCATTTCAGACGACCAGGCACAATGTGACGTCCATAATAAATACTCTTTGTGACAGTTGAATGTCTCTGTGATCTTCTTGTCATCCTCAAAACCCTATGTGGGACACTTGTGCGGCTAAAGCAAAGACAGTCAAATTTTAGTGTCAGAAATTCAGAACGTTTAAATTGCCTTTATATCTTTCTTTATCACACTTTTCGTAGTTTGTGTTTTATTTTGGAAGTCATCTTGGTCTTTATTGTTTATAGGCCTATTTTATTTTATTCCCATAGCTTTTATCAAAGAATTAGAAGTTTGTGCTTTATTTATTTTTTGGTCTTAGTGCACATCCCTTATTAAATGTAAATGTTTTTTTAATTACATTTAATGTACAACTTCACCTAGGGGGTAGGTATGCGTTAATAAACCTATTATTATTACTAATTATTATTTCGCGGCGCTAGATGTTGTCATAAATACCGTAGCCCCTGAAATATGCTCAGTGAACATTCAAATATTTCAAGCTATCCCCGGCAAACACATAACGTTTTATAACGCTACCATAACGAAGCCATAACGTTTTTTTTTTTTTTGTAAAATTAACGTTATGGTAACGTTGTAATAACGTTATGTGTTTGTTGGGTCCACGTGACCACGCATCTCCATAAGTTAAGATCACATTTCATTTTAATTCTGTAATAATAAACATTTCTGTAACCATACAATGTACCCAGTATTTTATATTCTGTTTTATCCAAATTCAAATACCCATGGCAACAAGCATAATACAAATACAGTTGTCTCCCAATGTTATTACCACCATCAAAGCCCCGGTTTGTAAACTTCATTATCAAGATTCTTCATAAAACTATTACACTAGCGTTATTTTATGAAAACAAGCTCATGTTATATCCATAATACTTCTCCTCAACCCAGTACTTGGCCATAACTTGCTTCAAAAGCTCCCTGTCTACCCCCTGATAGAACTGCCGTGCTTCATCGTCAGACGACGTTTGATTTGCACGATGTGAAGGCGGGAGTTGGATCATGTCGTCTGCGCCTAGGAGAATGAGAGTGTTTTTGAGGTCCTCTGCCATTGTCTCGAAATACACAA